TGTCCTTGCAGCCACCTGCTCCAGCCCCGGCTCAGGGAGTGGGGACAGGGGAGCAGGGAGCCCACAGATACGCACCTTTATGACATATTGCTCTGCTGTCAGTTTGTACTCGTGGTGTCCGATTGTGAAACTTATGTGAGGCAAGCTGGACAGTCTTCTGCAGTCTACGAGAAACTGTATTCCATGCACTGATTGAGATGGGATCAGTTTGCCTTTTTTTAAGTATTACCCTTTGAATTTGAGATTTTTTGCAGCTGGTAATAGTGCATTTACTACAGAGAAACAGCATCAGGCTTCTGACTTATGGCCCAACACTGCCCTCCAGCTTTCCAGCTCCTGCACTGGATCAAACCAGCCTAGCAGCCTAGACCCTCGGGACCCAGGGCTGATGAAAATCCTCATGAACTCCAAAAGGGACAAGGTGAAGGAGCACTCTGGCATCTGCCCTGTACAACTCGGAAGCAAAACTGAGTGTGTGAACCCCAGCGAGCAAGGTTTGCTGAGCGAAAGTCCTGGGATGCTCTGGCTTGGACTGGGTGGAGGGAGCTGCAGCTGCAGCTCACCCCGCTCCCTCCCATAACATCATTGTTTTAGGGAAAAAAAGCCAGTGAGGAGTACAGCATTTTATAGTTATACTCTGCCCTGGAGTAGGATTTAAAGAGCAGAAGAAGGACTAAAATCTGGCATGGTCATTAATTTACATAAATAATACATTCACTTACAGTAACACAGAAGATCATTTCCTGGCCTTTCTAGTTATTTCATTAAACAACTGGCGTGTTAAATGGCACTGCAGAATGCTCTAAGCCCCAGAGGGATCTTTGCTGTAAACTGTAGTGTTTAAAGTTATTGTTTTAGAGGCTTCCTATAAGGAAGAATCTACTTTTTTTGTTGTTGTTAAATCTGCTGTATGAAAACATAGCCCAAAATCTTGTGTATACTTATCAAGTGTCATACCATTAGAACAAAATAAACCATGGGATACAGAGGACAAGGGTAAGAAAGCCAATATAATGGTTTGTAGGATACAAGAAGCAAGACATAATTCATTTACATAGCTAGTATGTCCAGAACAAGTTAATCCTTGCTGGAAAGAGATAAAAGTTCTGGTAAAATCACTGGTGGATTCACCCAAATATACCAGGATAAATTTGAGCCAAAATACCTAGCCTGTCTGTGATTGCTACAAAAACAGTCATAGAAAGTCTTATTTTCAGGATGCTTTTTTGCAGAATCTGAGATGCTGGTTGAATGTTTTTGTGTCAGCACTGGAGTATATAAACTTATACTGCAATGACCTGTTCCTTGTTTATATTGTACTAATATAAGTACATTGGGAATACATATTTTATCTGTATCCAATAGTATGTACCATTATAAAACTAACTTGCTACTAAAGCATACTGTTTGACTTGTGTCTGAAAATATGAATAAAAATAAATTTAAGGCTTAATTGAGAAAGAACCAGAAGCTTCACCAGTTACACAGATGCAGCTCCAGGTCCTTGTCTTACAAAAGGAGGCAGATTAAAAGTCCACTTTGTCTTTGACCCCTGCCCAGTGCACTGGGCAACCGTAACACTTAATTTTCTTCCAAGTGCAGTTTTGGGTCAGGATCAAGACAACTGTGAAGTTAACAGAAACCATACACGACAGCTTTACTTGGGGCACTGGAGCTGTGGCGACGTGGTAATTACCCGTGGGAGTCAGCCAAGGGCCAGCAATAAGGCACGGTAAAAATAAGCTGCTCTCTCTCTGGAGGCGTGTGGGTTTAGCTGTCTCAGGCTTGTTATCTCAGCACTTTAGACGTTACAAGGGTTTGGTCACATCATCTGAAAATTGCCAGTGGGAAGATGCAAAGGGCAGCAGAGAGACATCCCAGCCCAGCTCATGGGCAAGGCAGTGGGAAAGCCTCACCTACCTCCAGCGACTTTGGCTCATGTAAGCCCCCCCGAGAGGTGCGGGGAGCCAGGCATCACATGTGTGGGGCCAGAGAGGCCACAAAGTGATATATCCAAGCCACTTGGCCTGCTGGAGGAGGTGGAAGTGCTCCTCAGAGGGCAGGCAGGGATGGGAAGGAGGGAGGAGCATCAGCAAGGGGGATGTAGGAGGGAGCAGCAGGGAAGAGAGGAAAAAACAGAGAAGAGACTTAGGAATAAGGTTCAGGAAGATGAGTAAGAGACAGCAGGGTCTGTCCTGCACCCCGTGGCTCATCTGCCAGGAGCCAGTGTTGGGAGCGACACAGCTGTGCATCCCTCTCGGGAGCCCTGGCATGGCACTGCCTGCTCCGCTGCAAGCTGACAGTGAGCGGTCCTGGCAGTGGGGCCGTTGTGGGTCTGTAACTAAAATACTTTATCCTTTCCATTTGACGCTGACAGGGCACCAAACCCCTCCTGGCTCGGGGGAGCCAACGGTTATAACTGGGGTCATTGAAAATCTTCTGATTTTCTGAAAGAAAATATCTGTGATGTAAAGTACAGATCGATTCCTCAAACAGCTGCCCCCATTATTTCCTTTCACACCAGCACTGGCAAGTATGGCAGAGGAGCAGAGGAGGTGGACAGTTGAGAGGAGGACTGGGGCAGCAAGGCAGATGGGTCAAAACCAGCTTGGCTCTGAGTTCAGTACTGTCCTGGAAACAAGGCTTTCGCTGAGATCTTCCTGGAAAATTATTTTCATTATTTTCCCACCCTATAAGCTGTTTGCACCAAATACCAGTTTCTCTTCCTTTCTGGCTGTGTGGTTTTTACCTCTCCAGTCTGCGATGGACTTGCCCCAATATACTCCTGTAATCGCCTGATTTGTGAAGAGGGGCCGGTGATAAGAGAAGTGCCTGAATCAACAATGGCTTCGCAGCCATGGGAGCAAAATGCCACCTGGCCCTGGATCTTTATACTGCAAGTGAAAAACAAAGCATCTTTAAGCAAATGGCATATACACTGCAACTGAAGCAGCATATTATTGCTAGCTAAAGCACCAGAGTATGGACTGAAGTTAAAACTAGCACCAAGCTATGCCAGTCTTAAAAGGCAAGAATGTCTTTAGAAGACAAGAAAGTAATAAAAGGAAAATGCATGAGGAAGATGTCTTGTCTGTGGACCCACTTTTCTCTCTTTGGACTCCTACAGCCCTAATAATTTGCTCCATGCTGATTAATTTGTCCTCACCCACAGGTATGTGTCCTCATTGATTTACACAGCAGGAGGAGGAACGAAGGGACACTGACTACTTTGACTGAGGTTAACAGGAAAGATGAGAGGAGAAGCGAGAGCTGTATTCAGTTCCTGGGTGCCTTAACCTCTTCACTGAATAGTCCACCAAGAGTCAACTTCACCATTGGTGTATCATATTAAAACTTATTAACGTGCTCTCCCAGAAACCAGCTAGGCATGTCACAGCAGATTTAGAGAGCTAATAAGCCCCAGTCTTATCCTGGTGAACCCCCTCTTTGAGAGGCACAAAGGTAAAACACTACAGCTGAGTCCTCCTGCATCTGTCTCACTAGGTGTTTCTGCCTGTGTGTGTTTTACCTGGGAAAGTGAATTCCACCAGGTATTTCATACATACATACATACGTACGTACAAACATACACACATACAAACGTACACACATACATACATACATACGTACTTGTTCAGGTGTATTTGCCAGTAGGTTTTCTCAGTGACTGGGACCCAGTGGATTGAACCTTTGTAGCGGGAATGGTCTATCCCCCCCAGAATCAACTCACCGCCATTCTCGGTGTCATCTCCTCTGAAAGCAGAAGTCAGGTTACCACAGACAGGGGAGTGTGCCAGCACGTGCTGGTGAGATTAGTCTTAAAAAGCACAAAACAAACCACAGCCCTTTCTAAATTCAGACATGGATGGCTGAAAGGGATTATTTCTAAATTATAACTGCATAGGTCCCAACTCAGAGCCTCCAAACAACCTCTGAGAAGACTTACTGTAGGTTGCCAAGGGCTAAGATAGGCATCAGGAGCAGGCTGAGCCAGTTGCTGCTCTCACCTCCAAATAAACGCTAGATAAATTGGTGGAGTTGCAGCTAGGTCCAGGTGAGGTTACGTTTCTTGTCTGAAATGTGGTTACATGGGTGTAGCATGGTATTTCTGTTCATCTCCACTGGCCAGAAGAAAACTTCTGGCAACTCAGTACACAGTGAGCCTGAGCTGAGAGCTTTTCTTTTGTTTATGATCAGCTCGAAAAAGAATAACTGTCTGTCCAAAAATTCATGGTGCTCCCCAGCACATTTTTCCTTTTTACTCCATATTTTTCAGTGTCAAATTGAAAAAAAAAAAAAAAAAAAAGAAATGGGGAAAATTACTTTCTAGAATTGAAGATTTATACAGGTGCATGGTTGTCTCAACAATTACAACAGATTTGCGTCTTTTTTGGCAGTGTCACTTTCAAGACTGACCTTTTCAGATAGAAAGAGAAGACCGGCTCTTCTACCAGCTTCTGGTTCATGATGCTGTCAAACACGGGCAGAGCATTGCCCACTGCTAAGGAGGGGTAGCCCAAGCCCAGCACGCCATCAAAGTGGGCAAGGGCAAAGGTTGGTCCTGGCTCAAACACCGACTCACCAAAGTCCTGTCCCTTGATGGAGATGTTACTTATCTGTTTGGCACAAGTGAAAGTAAAGACACCATCAGTTACGAGAAATTAGCCTCATTTCAGATCCACACAGTGGATAAATTCAGTTTATAAATCCTGGACATCCTTGTGTGACTTGCATCAACAGAGCAGGTGCCCATTGGGCAGGCAGGCTGCACCAATTCCTTTTAATACCTTAATTCTGTGGATGTTTCTTCATAAACCCAGGACAGGACACAAGGAGAGAAGCAGAAATGCAAAATAAAATCTTAGGGATTTGACTGGGTAGCCCAAAGCTGGCGCAGCACCCACGCTTCTCTGCACCCGGCTTGGCAGAACCTCACCCTGCCTTTGCCTCAACCAGGCCAGCATTTCCAGGGCAAGGTCAGTATCTGAACTTCCCTGGAAACAGTTGACCTGGAGGCTGACATTCACTTTAGGTGGACACTCACCTGCAGCGTGTCTTTACCAGCAATGCCCAGAAGTTGTCCTGTGCCATACTGCAAGGAGAAGGCTTCCCCTCCGTGCTCATATGAATCCGACAGAAAGGACTTAAATTTCTGGTGCACCCCTACACAAAACAAATTACACTTGTGCAGCAAGGGGAGGTCACGGCAACACACCTGCACCCTGACGCAGAACCAGATGAGATGTAGGAGAGCCAGATTTTCACTTGCCTTACGAGGAAGGTGTTGATGGAGGTGCCCGTTCTCTTGCAGGCACCCCAGTTTTTCTGTACCTCAGAGGTTATTTTGGATTTTAAAGACAAATTAAAACAAAAATGGGCATTTCCACCACTATTTCTACTCTCCCAGGTTTATTTTCATGCCTTTCACCCCAGCTACCTCATGGTGTGGAGGGATGCCAGGCAGCTGCAGCTGGCACCTGCCCTGGCTGCGGGCGGCACGGAGGGACAGAGATGGAGCGGGAGGAAGATGGAGCCCAGGAGGGGAGAGGGGCCCTTGGGGGTGCTCCAAATCCTCCCCTCCCAAATCCCTACTGAAGGCAATCTTCTTGGGAAAAGAGAAATGGCCAAGGTACCCCAGACACGGAGGAGCAGAAGGGTGAGGGGGGTGGGGGGAACTTTTCTTACTGCATGCTTCGCTGATGCAATAAGCAGAAGGGACCCAAAAATTGGAGGAGCCAGTGTCAAACACAACGGTGAACCTCTGGGGTGGCGTACCAACGTTCACGACTCCGTAGTACTGCGCCTGGGGGAGGAACAACCCAGTCAGACCCATGCTGCCTCCCCATGAGCCATTCCTGAGGAAAAGGCAGACTTGGGAGCTTCAGGCAATGCTTTCTTGGGGGGTGCAGTGCTATTTCATCTAAACATAAATGCACACTACAGGGAACTGTGTCTGGTTCCACGAGTGGCTGTGAGCAGCAGATTTCCCTCCAGCTGCATCCATAACAGTGTGGCATTTTTAAAGCCTTTTAAGTAAACACTCAGTTGGGTTCCCCATGAAGTCAACGAGCCCTCTTGCACTGACTTCAGGGGCGGCAAGGTGAGCCCCAGGACAAGGCTCCCACGCAACCCCACAGGCCGTCAGTCAGCTCACTTCTGATGTCCATGAGAAATCAGTGATGTAAAGACAGCACAACACACCTGGCTCACAGGGCTCCGGCTGGTGACAGAAACACTGTCACAGGTGGCTGGGCTTTTTCCTTTGTAATTAGCAGCTATTAGCAAGTTTAAAAATGAATTCTGTTGCACAGATTGTATCAGATGTACTGAACAAAGTTCATCCAGTGGATAAAGAAACCACTGACCGTCCTTGGATACTAGTTGAAGCCAGAGATAATCTGTGAACACGTGAATGCTGGAGCGAAGAGCTTATCCAGATCCCAAATGCAAGTGTCTAAGTGCCCCTATCTGGACCTGGAAGAGCACTTCAGCATTAAGAGATTTATTTTTAGAAAGAGGCATTTCTGGAATTCAAACGCAGATAGAAAAGCAATACCCAGTGCCAAGCCTTTTGTAGCAATACAAATATTTGAACATGTAACTCCAAGTGCATTCTTGTTAATTAATACATCGAGTATAGTTTCTGACCACGGAGTTTATGGTCTGAATGAGATAACCATGAGAAGGCAGGCAAGTGCACCATTTAAGAGAATATCCAGCCACATAGCAGGATGTTATTCCTTCCTGTATTAAACAAACCTTCACTGATTAATCTGTAAAGTGAGACAGCTCTAAGACATGTTGGTATAAAAAAAACCAAAAAAGAAACAAAAAAACCCCCCAAAAAAACCAGCCCCAAAACAAACAAAAAACCCCACAAACACACTGCACTGAAACCTCTGCAAAACTGTTCCTGGTGCTAGCTGGATATGCTGGGGAAGTGGGTTTTGTTTTGTTATTTTGAGAAGTATCCGTCTTTTATAAGCTTTAAATTTTTCAGCCTCCTTTGTTCTTCTTCACACACATCTCTAGCTCCTCTTGACATACTCCTTTACAGCCCTCAGGTGTCAGGAAGTTCTTGCTGAATTAATTTGTCTTTGCCTTCCCTTCCCTGTCCAGATGCAGCCCCCACAACATTTCTGCAACTTAGCTTTCCTTTAGATGAGCATAATAGAAGAACCAAATCAAATAGAAAACAGAGACCAATAAAATGAACAAAATGCTAAACCCAGGAAAGACTTTACAAGATGGTTGACCTGCTGACTTGCATGTCTGAGATCAAATGAAACTCATATTTTTCCTTTCTTAGTTTAGATGGTAAATTCAGCCAGGTTAGTGTGAGACCCAGGTCAGTCTCAAATATTTAATACACATTAAGCTCAGGACATAAAAGTAGAAAAGTATGAACTCTACTTGGGTCTTTGTTATTACTCATTTATGACTCCATGTGATCAAAAAAATGAGATTTGGGGTTTTTTTTAATATCATGCAAACACCCAAGTTTCTGATAAATAGAATACAGCTAAATGAAATAATCAGATTCTGCTACTAAAAACCCAATCCTGAACCAAGATTGATAAAGGCAAACCTTCCACATTTGTTTGAAGACCCAACCAAGTCCAATACACATGTATACAAAAATAAAACTTGTCACAGGACTACCACTGCTAGATTGTGTCAGCTTTCTACCCAGGTCCCATGCTAGGCTAGATCTAGAAGTACTTTATTTTGCAGCCTGGTAAACTCATTTTTAGTCATCCAGTATTTTTAGCATAGAGCAATGAACCATCTCAAGCTCTACAATTTCATTGAGAGACTAGGTTTCAAATGTGCTGGGGAAAAAAATCTGCCTTCAAGAGAACAACGGGTCCTTATGATTGCATGACCAAAACTGTACTTACATTCATGTAATCGTACAGCCTTTCTGATGCGGTTCCTACTGATAAAGCAATATCTGCAGGGAAGCAGTGCAGGTACCTCCGGGCAAAAACATCAGGATGGTGATCCCTCCAGAATTCCTCTAATTCTCCCTTTTCCTTCAGCTGTTTCTTGATGGATTTGAATCGAATGAGAGGGATTCTATGCAAATAAACACACAAAAAATAACTGGTTCTCCTTTCTAGAGCTTCATATACTCTTTGCTTAAAATTTTGTTTCCTTTTTGAGACCTTGGGTAGCACCAAGCATGGTTACCCCGGGAAGTCAGCTGAGACACGCACCAGTGATACCAGATGTGTTTTCTTACCGTTCCATGGTCATGGTGAATGGGATGTAAACCACAGCCAACAGTATCACCCTCATGGCTCCAAGCGGTGCGGAGGCTGATGACACTCATTTACTCAGAAAGCCCTTTTTTATACCACATTGTCAGCAGAGGGCTGATCACCAGGTCAATCAATCACAGCAGGTCAGTGCTTTGGCAGGAAACCAATTCATTTGCTGTCAGAGTAACCGCTGGATTGTGCAAATACTGGTGCCCAGTGGAGCTACTAAGGCACAGATAACCAGGACACAGTCTAGACCAAGCAGACATTTTACTAACAATCCTTAATGTCTTTTACATAAATATAATAAATGGGGTGGGCTTGGCTCCCATCAGCATGGGAAAGAGAAGGCGATCCAAGCTTCCCTCCGAGTAAGCTGCTGTTCAAGCTGGGTTTATTGACAAGTGGCCCAGAAGTGTCCAACGCAGAGAAAGAGGACGTAATATATAACCACTCCCCTGTTACATGGAGACATTTCAGCACGGCTGAGCAGAGGGACATTCGATAGGGTTGTGACAAGTCATCCCCTAACAACTGAAGATTAATTCCCTGTTTATGGGAGAGCTCCAGTCTAAACATAAATGTGATTGCTACCCTCAAAAAATGGGTCTTAAAAGTCAAAAAGATGACAGCCTGCGACACACAGTAATAAACAGCCAGTGGCTTTGTACACATTTCAGCAAGACATTTGGAAGCGCTCGCCAGGATTTATTTTCCTGTGAGTTTCCTGAGGTTGGCGGTTCCCACCCTGCCTGACACTTGGGTTCAGGTCAAGCTGTCAGGAAAATAATGGTGTCAAAAAGAGACTCTGGTCTGGCAGAGAGCAACCCCAAACCCATTAGCTGCCTGGGAGGAACCTCAGCACTGAGTCTGCAATTTACTTATGAGACTTTTTGAATCTTTCCTCTACACAAGAAAGTGCAGTGAGCAATGGCATACTGCAGCCTAGCACGCATTAAGGCTAAATTGGAATAATCAGCCATTTTTGTTCAAAAGACTATGCTGGGATGCTGGGAAAAGAGCAATAAAGATTATTCCCCTGCAATACATCATTTATTTCAAATAGACTGCTCACCACGTGAAGGTGAACTGGAACTACATAACCCCTCCAAAAGAGAGCAGATGTGTGACTGTGCAGCAAAGGATGAGTGTCAAAAACACAGAGGAGGCAGGAGTCATCATCCGCTCTAGCAGCAATGCTCCAGTCGGGGAAAAACAACAGAAAAAACCAAACACACAGTATTTGTGAGGAAAGAAGGAGTCCAAACACCTGTCACACACTTTAAATAACTGTAAAGCAAATCATTATGAGTACATACTAAAGACATTCTTTAAAACTGTTCCTTTAATGCTCCTTCCTATGATTGAGGAGGTGCACGAGAGGCTTAAAATCAATGATTTTAGAGCTCTCTTCATTAGTCCTCTGGTTTTGAAATACATGGTTTGCTTTTTCCAACTTACCTCCAAAATTGTGAGGACTACACAACCTGCTCTCAACAAAGGCTGAGCCTGGTGTCATCACACAGATGAGTGCAGAGCTTTGGATGTGAAAATCACCAGTATAGCTATTTTAATGATTTATTTTTTAAAAAAATAAAATAAAAAACACCCTCAAAAAATTCAGGAATAACACACAGCTTTTATATTGATTTCCATTTTCTTGATGTTTTTTTTTTTAATTGTCTAGCTTTGAGCAGTGTTCCCTGTTTCTTCTGGACTCAGGTTTTTTACACACTTTCAGCAAGCATCTGTGTTTTCTGTCCCATAGCCGTCCCAGCCATGGAGCTGCAGGAGCTGGGTGCTGGCAATGAATGAGAACGGTGAGCAATAGCTGCGGTCATTTGTGAACTCTCAGAAAGCAAAGGTATTTCTCAAGGAGCCTACATGTGCCACCTGACGCGTGGCAGAGCAGATGCCATGCCCTCTGGTAGGGCAGCGTCACTTTGACAAGAGCAAGACAATGCCTGTGCTGAGTGCCTTTGTCACTTGAACTTTTCCTCAAATGCCACAAATGCTTCTGGGAAGTCATTAATGTTCATGTTGGAGGGCATCAGGATAGCTTTGAAGATGTGAAGTGGCTTTCAAAACACCACCCTAGGTCTACCGAGGGGACTGCCTTTGCCTTAGAGACTCCACTGAGTCGCTGATTCTCTGAAGGTTCAAGACTGATCATTTTATTGCAAATGTAGCCCTGCATTGTCCCACCACACAAAGGTTATTTTTTTCCCAAATACTCTGCTCTCACAGTGTGTTCCAAGCAGACATTCATTTAGCCAACAGAGGTACAAAATGCAGCAACAAAAGGTCATTGTGACTTTTTTTGATAAGCTGGAATAATGATTAAACTACAATGCAGAGGATCCCTAAGAAATAGTTGTCTGCAGTTTAAAAGTTCCATTAAGAAGAACTAATTCAAGGAGAAAAAATATAAACGTATATGTGTCTATAGACATAAGGTATATTGCAAAGTTATTTCTCTCCGTATGGATTACAAAGAAAAATGTCCCTAAACTCTGTTATTAATATATTCTTACTCAGACTTCTATGTTGTTCTGATCAGGAGGATATCTGAAGGAATTTGCCTAAAGGAGATGTCTTTGCCATGGATGTAAATTCATTACTATATACAGCAGATGCATTTGCTTTTCCACACCTGCAGCATACCATGCCTTAACAGGGCAGGGAGCCTTGCCTTTAGAAGGTGCCATGGCTGCTTAGAAATGGAAGCAAATACAAAAATCTGCTGAGGGCCATGGGAATATTTTCTTAAAAGTCAGATCTCATTCTAGGGTGACTGCTTGGAAAAGGATGCCCTGCGAAATCCTGGAATGACACGTTCCCCACGGCAGTCCTCTGATAGGGCATGTGGTGTTGAAGCAGTAAAGAAGTGGCTACTCTGAGATGCTCATTCCATGCGAATTGTCTCTTGCTGCTGGGACGCTACACCCAGCACATCCCACCTCCTGTTGTGAGAGAGTATTTCCAGCCCCTCTCTTCCACAACATGGCCACAGATGACTGCAACGTATCTTTGTTCTCCAGGCTTGACTCTCTGCCCAGCTTTTCTCTCCAAAAGCTATTTTATAGCACTCAGATCACAGCACTTGCTGTTCTCTGTCCTGCTGCAATACTGGACCCCAGATGCCCTCTCTGTTGTTCTCCTTCCCCAGGAAACCCTCCATACATCCTTCATACCATCACTGCTGCAAAGCACAGACACTCATCTTGCAGGGAAAAGACTAATAAACATCCTATAGCCTATACCCGACTGATAGCTGAGAGCTGCTTTACATTTGAAAGCAAGTGATGGTAGAGCTCTCTATTACCAGATTTGACCAGAGCCCCAAGGGCCACCTTAACAGTTTGATACTGCCTTTTTCTCAATCTTCTGTTTGTTCTGCTTTTTGTTTTTCCAAGAATAGGTGGCTGCTCCCAGCAATCACATATTTCGGTTATGTAGCACCTAATGCCCAGAAACTGACCGCAGATTGTTTGAAGAAAGTGTCGTCCCTAAATTATGGGAAGTGTGGAAAATCATAGCAATGACCTGTAGATATCAAAGTAGAGAGACAGCTGCCAGAAAGGCTATTTCACCTTAAAACACTCTGCCAGCTTTCAAACCTAAAGATCGTGGTACAGCCATGGCCAACACACAGGTGGGACAATCCCCAAGAAAGCTTAAACCAGCAGCAGTAGCTCAAGAAGCCCAAGTATACAGAGGTACCTACACATGGGAAAGCTCCTCCTAAAAATCAGAGGTGCCCTGACCTGAATGGCAACGGGTCTTGGTGAGAAAAGGAGGGGAACAGTTTACACTGTCACATCTAAATAGTCATAACTTCTAACACTGTATTTATCTCACTCATAACAAGTGGGACTCTTGATGGAATTAAATCCATGGCCGTTTCTTGCCAGGTTTTGGTACAGACACGGGAACTGCAGTATCACGGTCAGAAGGCAGATGGAGAACAGTCTGGGCAGGTTGTGATAGCGAGTGTATTAAACGGGGATTCAGACAAGAAGCAAAACATAATGTAATGAAAAAGGCCCTACAGAGTCAAGAGTGCCAGAGGCTATAGTAAACACCGTTAAATTAGGAACATAAATAGTAGAACAGCTCAAGATAGCAGTTTGCCAAGTATTTGTGTTAAAGGTTCAAGAGAAGTACTGGGTGGCAAGTTACTCTCTCAAATTATGTATTTGGCACCTTCCAAAGTAAATCCCTAAAAGTGCCACTCATCCAGAAAGCCAGTCAAGTCTTGACAGGTATTTTAAACAAGAATTCGATTACATCCGACATTTCCCCTGAAAGTTTCATGAAAGCTAAACATCTGCATTTAAAAATTTGGTCTTCGGTGGTGTTTACTTTCCCGAGCCAATCCCTGCAGCCAGCACCAGCTGCACAGACAGCACAGCCAGAGAGAGAGGTGAGGGCCTGGGGCAATGGGGCGACGGTTTGGGGCAAAATGGGAGAACATTTATAGTGCGTGGGAAGAGGCAAGAAGGAATGTTTAGGGGGGGAGTGGGAAAGTGAGCAGGAGTGCGAGTGAGAGAGGGAGACCTGCGCTCAAAGTTGTCCTGTCCGTAATCCCCGTCACCAAACACTCATTCGGTTATCAGAAACATTTCAGAGCCCTTGAGATGAATGGCTGGTGCCATGTAAACAGAGCCTTATATTGGGAAGAGGGAGTTACCGGCAGGTCAGTGCACAGCAGGAGAAGACCAAGGCGGGCCCCTGTCCCTCGCAGTCCCAGCGATCCCTGAACAAAGAAGGTTGCAGGATGGGCAACAGTCTGAAAGCCATCATTGCTTTTGTGCCCTCTGACGAGTGCCAGAAGTACCTTGTGGAAGACCTAGAAGAGATGCCAGTGGATAAAATGGTGGATCTGAGTGGCAGGCAGCTGAGGCGGCTGCCTCTGCACATTTGCTCTTTTAGGGAACTGGTCAAGCTGTACCTGAGCGACAACAACCTGAACCATCTGCCCCCGGAGCTGGAGCAGTTGCAAAACCTGCAGATCCTGGCGCTGGACTTCAACAA